GATTGAAGATCAGATCAGATCAGATGAATACAACCGTCGAAAGTAATAGATTCACTGTGTAATGCAATTAAAGTGTCTTTGATATTCGGAGTGCTGCATCTTGAGGTGCAATGCAGGCGTTATCAACATTTAAAAGTACAGTGCAGAGATTTAGGCATGTGGCAAACTATGCACTTACTTTTCTACTGCAGTATTCCAGCAGGATGTAGATGTTCTCCTTGTCCTCAAAGTGGTGATAAAAATGCACAATGTGCTTGTGGTGCAGTGCACGGTGCAGTTCAATTTCTCGGTCAATCTAGCAGAGGAAAGGACACAATTGTCACGACTGTAGGTAAAGGAAATTTGGTGAACATCTGCTGTCCAAATACACCAGTGCGCACAGGCAGTGCGCGCTTACCTTCTCTCGTTGGTGAGGTTTGGAGACGCGCGCATGCGGGATGATTTTGGCGGCGTAAACTTTGCTGGTGGAGAGGTCGGTCATCTCGTAGCATTTCGCAAACCCTCCCTGGAAAGAGGACAAATCACTCTAATTAACATTCTGCGTCTGCAGGTTACAAGGTAAATTTGCCACCCCTCCAAAAAAAAAAAACTAAATATGATATGCTTGCGCTACCTTTCCCAAAACTTTCCCACGGCAGTAGCACTTCCCAGTGGCCGGGTCAGTGATTATCCTGGACATCTCCGAGGGCGCACTGCGCTCATCCGTTCTCTTCCGCCGAGGTTCGCTCGACCTGTGCGTGGATTCACTCATGCTGCCGCTGTTCGTCTGCTGGGGCGCGATGTTTCTCTGTACTTCCATTGGCGGTGGTGTGTCGTCCCGCACTCAGAATGCAGCCCGGAGCCCGTCTCTGAGTCTTTATAGTCTGGCACCCTCCCCACCCGGCTGTCTGCCGCCCTCTCTCTGACGTCACGACGTGACACGACAACGGGAGGTCTTCCTTCTATCGGCTATGTTGCATGTACGTTGGTGTTGGTGATGGCACAGGACAGGAAATCATTTTTTTCATCACATTTGGAAGAACTTGCTTTGGATTTAAGTTTTTCATAACTTGTCTATGATCATTTCTTCACCAGCTGCCAAATACGATAACACGTTTTGTACCTTACTTGTGTCATTTGAGGGACCCATGCACGTGAATGAGGCTTTCACACATGTGGTGCAAGATAGAATTCAAGGCAGTAGTAGTCCGATGCGTCTGGTCGATGAAATACACACCATGCCGAGGACAGACATTATCTTTATTCTAGCAAGGCTCACCTGTTTCTAAAGCAAACTCACTTTGGAGCACTAGCACCCTCAGCTGGAGAGTCTGGATATCATTTTAGTTGCAGTTCCGGTTACAAACCTGTTCTGCATTTGGAACTTCACCAAATACAAAGTGGATACTGTATTGGAACTGACATCATCATGCAGTGGTATGGGAGGGGGGGGGGGGGGTTAGCTTCCAGCTTCAGGTGTATTTGACCTATGAACTATTAAAATAACACATCGTTACTGTGGGTGCCACTGTATCAGCAGTAGGGCCTACTATAGAGACCACTATGGCACGATGCCCCAAAATGTCAATCAAATCAAATCATGATTGTGGTGGAAGTGCTTTTAGTGACGGATTTTAAGCTGGATTCTAGGCAGTGGTGCATGATGGTGTTTTTATGACGATACTGACCGTAAAATGGCAAAGGCACAGTCTGTACTGGCTGTGCAAACACAAATACTGCAGGGCGTACATGATGTGAAAATCATTTTGACATCCGGCTTAGTCAGAGTCCATCTCATCCCTGCAATGTTCGAAGACATCTTTCAAAAAGTCTGCCGCCTGTTCAGAGCTCACAACTGGCACATTTCCCTGAAGTGGGTCTGACAACATGCTAACATGTGTTGTCTTTGTGTTTAGTGTTGTTGAGGAAGACATAAAACGAACAATAACCAAAACAACGGTGATTTAATGTTTTGGGCATTTTTTCTCAGGAATGAGAATCCGAGCGGATGTCATGAGAAAAGGTCTGGTGAAGATTTTGGTGGCCACTCGGGGAGAAGACAACGACTAGCGGTGACTAAGGCATCATCAGGAAGCCCAGCAACCCCATCTGTAAACCAATCGCAAAATATTAGTCACTTAAAGATCCACTGACATGTATGTTAGCTACTGTATGTACATATGCACTATTAATTCTTCATCGAGGAAGACCCACCACTGCCCGACGAATCAGACGTCCAACAACGAAAAACAAAAATAGGGTGATTTACTTTGATGCGGCTTGTGGATAACAAACATTTCGGGTTAAGGTCTTACCTTCTAGAAGTATTTTTTGACAAAGGTCGCCTGTCTGGAGGACACTCCTGTAGAGGGCATAGCTCTTGGCAAAGGCCCCTAAAAGGGAGTTGATCTCCAACCCTGTGAAACCAGCTGAAGCGGCCAAAAAACACCAGTAAGTTCATTTGCGCTGATGTAATTATTGGAGTGGGCGTCTGCATTAAGGTCTTCAAAAGAACCCAATCTGCAGTTTTAAAGCCAATAATGTATTTATTGGATGAAAACAATGTTTGCCATCTAGATATCTCAAGCTGCTGATTTTCATTTGAGAATCTGTGACATTAAGATAGTGTAGCAGGACACAAATAGTTATACAGTACAGTCTTACACCGTCTCCTGTTGTAAATAGATACACCAGCTAATCTTCACCGCAGAGCCTATAGAGCTGCCAAGATGCAATTATCATCAGAGCACCATATCCAACAGCAGATGGTGCCACGGCGGCCTCTTCACCCAGCGAAACCTTTTAGAAAACTTTGAACAGAACCGAAGAGCTGAGCAGAACCATCACTATGATTCAGAAGCAGCTTTCAAAAACACGCCTACCAAGTTTTTTACGACTTTGTAACAAATCGCCGCAGAAATATTAAAAAGCAAAGGAACGATTGAGTAACTGACCGACTTCCGAGCCGCATAAACGGACGTTGCGGACATATTCGGCACAATTGGAAAGTTACAGTGCACAATCTGTGGAGACAGACGTGTTTGTGCAGCCCACCTGAACCCGACCCCTCTGCTGCGGACTGAACAGCCTGCACACACAGATCCTTGAGTCAGAGGGGGTTAGTCAGCAGGATGAATCCATGTACGCCCTATGGATCCATACATGTCCTGTAGGATGGGTTCATATATGAAGCCATGCACACCCTATGAGTCCATACTCACCCTATGAGTCCATACTCACCCTATGAATCCATACTCACTCTTTGAATCCATACTCACCCTCTGAATCCATACTCACTCTTTGAATCCATACTCACTCTTTGAATCCATACTCACCCTATGAGTCCATACTCACCCTATGAATCCATACTCACTCTTTGAATCCATACACACCCTATGAATCCACACACACCCTATGAGTCCATACTCACCCTATGAGTCCATACTCACCCTATGAATCCATACTCACTCTTTGAATCCATACACACCCTATGAATCCATACACACCCTATGAATCCATACTCACTCTATGAGTCCATACTCACCCTATGAATCCATACACACCCTATGAATCCATACTCACCCTATGAAGCCATACTCACCCTATGAAGCCATACACACCCTATGAGTACATACACACTCTATGAATCCATACTCACTCTTTGAATCCATACACACCCTATGAATCCATACACACCCTATGAATCCATACTCACTCTATGAGTCCATACTCACCCTATGAATCCATACACACCCTATGAATCCATACTCACCCTATGAAGCCATACTCACCCTATGAAGCCATACACACCCTATGAGTACATACTCACTCTATGAGTTCTTACTCACCCTATGAAGCCATACACACCCAATGAGTACATACACACCCTATGAATCCATACTCACCCAATGAGTACATATACACCCTATGAATTCATACTCACCCTATGAATCCATACTCACCCTAGGAATCCATACACACCCATACATATCATATGTTCACCGGCTGATTTAAGGGCTCCTGGCATATAGTATTAGGAGGTATTTATCGAAGAACTACAGCTCACAAGTGAATAATTGCTGGTTTGAGCCTATTGGTCCTCACCTCATAACGTTGATCGGGGATTTTTACACTCATCATTTGAAAATCAAATTGATTATGCAGGGCCTGTAACAAGCCTAAAAGAAGGCCGACGTGATTACAATTGCAAAGATGCCCATTTGTTTCACTTCCGCGGCAGCCTCACTCTGCACTTGCTCCCATTGAAGAGGCCCACGATATTAATATTCATCCATTCATCCACCGCTCAGGCCTCCCTTATTTGCTCAGCCGCTTGGTCTCCCGGAGCGGAACTGGCTGCATGAGCAGAGAGGAGGAGGAGGAGGAGGAGGAGAAGAAGGAGGGGGGGGGGGGGGGGGGCGAAGTGACGCAAAAGGAGAGGCCATTATATATTGCCTAAAAATATACCGCCCGGCTGCGGATTTATAAAAGGCTATTGGAGTGAATTATATATCAGACGCAAAATGGATTTGTACGGGAAGGTGAGATGCATGATTTCATTGTAAGGCTGAGAGAGTGAGAGAGTGAGAGAGAGAGAGAGAGAGAGAGAGAGAGAGAGAGAGAGAGAGAGAGAGAGAGAGAGAGCAGACTACGGGGTAACCATCTTACATGTATAACGTGAACCGAGCAGTGGCACGCTGTACAAATGTTTCCAATTGCAGTTCAATTGAAGTCTTCGGCTTGCAAAATTTGGAGCGTCCGATGCTTAACGTGGAACAAACTAAACAGCGTTTTTCCAGCGCCTCCACGGCAAATCGCATAGGCGCTGACAGCTGTTTCGCGCTGCATGCTGGGTAATGCAGTCGAAAGCCTGCTTATTGAGGAGCCCTCTGGATCTCTGCGCTGATGCCGAGATCAAATAAACTACAACCCCCCCCTCTCCCCTCCCTCTCCCTCCTCTCGGCCCCTTTCGGGCAGGTGACGTCAGAAAGAACTCATGACGCGCACTTTCCTCTCTGCTCGTGCTCATCTCGCGCGCGCCAGCCTCGTCAGCTCCGGGGCGCGTGCCACAGTATCCGCGGCGGAGGGGACAGCTCCCAGGTGCTGAAAGAGAGGACGAGGGACGAGGGAAAGAGAACCGACGACTCACACACAGAAAACCGTGTTCCGCAACGCAGGGACAGATACAGATAGAGCCGAGGCCTTCCGAACAGGTTTGTTCACGCGATGCCCTCAACGCGTTCTCGGTGGGTTTTTTTTTTAATTTGTTAATAGTTGTGTAGAAGAATCCCCCAGATGTTTGGTCACGCATTAGCTCGCGTGCAGCTGCCTGCATTACCCGCATCGTGTAATTACACACCGGATGGCCGCTGGGATCGTGGTGTGTGCGGAGCTCGGACGTCTCCCGAGCGGCGTCCCTGCAAAATACCACCTCGGTGCTGTTTATTTTTTTTTAGTTCTTTTAAAAAAAATGGATAGGCTATCAGGAGATGCTGTTTATCTGTGTTTGGCACATATAGTTGTTCAAACATTCACCTTGGAGCATGACAGCGCTCTAGTTGGCTCCTCTCTGCCGGCGGACTGCTGACAGCTCGCAGCGCAAATACTCGGTGCAGATGCGTGGTTGAGGTGAAACATGTATACGTGTTTTGTACAGTGTAGGTCATATCCGTTTTGACATGGAAGGATATTTAAATGGTGTGGTATTTGTGGAGAAAAGTCAGATCTCACAGCGGCTAATAAATATATTTCACAATATGGGTGTATTTTTGAGTACATACATAAAATACAGTATCTGATGAGCTAATTAGGTGATAACGTAAATGATCAAATTGTCTTACATTGATGGAATCATTTGGCTCAAGAGGACACAAAGTCAGCTCTGTCGAATGCCGGTTATCTAATACTCATCGATACAACAGCTTGCTGCGCTGGTCATGCTGTTTTCCTGACACAGCCTTCTGTCCCCTCTGATCTCTGGTCTGTTCAGCTACAGCGGCACTGGACTGAATACCATCACTCAACCAAAGAACGCATTGTTAGTTTCCTGTTAGTTGGGTTCACATCCTCCATGGGTCACAGCTCACAATAACTCAAGGTGAAGCTGTAATTCTATTCTTTTCAGCACCTCTTATTGTTTGTGTTTGTTGTTGTTGTTGTTGTTGTTTGCAGATGGCTGCCACTCAGGATGCGAAAGGGAAGGGGGAGGGAGGGGACCAAAACTTTGACTACATGTTCAAGCTGCTCATCATCGGCAACAGCAGCGTGGGCAAAACGTCATTCCTCTTCCGCTACGCCGACGACGCCTTCACTTCGGCCTTCGTCAGCACTGTGGGCATTGACTTCAAAGTAAAGACGGTCTACAAGAACGACAAGAGGATCAAACTGCAGATCTGGGTATGACACATTGAGAGTACATCGAGACTTACATCTTTACGTGTTACATGTTTTGTACCTTCAAATCTGGCTATCAAAGATAAGATATATTTGCCAATGCTGGTTAACACAAGATGATGACCTACATATTTGCAGGACATGCTTTATCATTGTTCACCTGTTTATTTAAAAGCTTATTCTGTATAAAATCAATATTGGATGGAATGATGTTTATTCATAGACCCAAAAAATGCGTTTCTAGAAACCAGGAACACACAACACGCTGTAACAGTGTTTTTCCTGCTTTCTTCGGTTCCTGGTTTCGTGGTTGTCATACAACCATGTATGAATTCATTCAGTTAAATCCTCTGTGCATTTAAATGTTTAAACATAGTTGTGTTCCAGAAATGTGTTTACCGTTGTCCTCAATGGTCTCCTGGAGGACTACCCGAGTCTCTCCAGAGATGCCCCGCCCCCTAAATCCTCTGCATCTTTGTTTTCATGCAGAGTGACTCCTGTCGCGTCTGTAACCGCTGCCCACATCTTTCTCCGTAGATCGATTGGTTTCAAGGTCTGAGGCAGGTTCTGAGTGATGGCTGCTTTGCCTTTCAAAAAAGTCCTCTTAGCATTAATTCAATGTAGTCTGGGTTATTTGGTGGCAGGACAGATCATGCTTGTTTTATATGCTTGTACGCACTTCCTTTGTCATCTTTAGTTGTTTGCATTATGTCATATAAGTCCAATATATTTCAGGCTAATTGCATTCATTTCACTATATTGGATTACTAGATATAAAAGATTAATATACATAATCATTTCACTCATATAGTAATATTTCCCCCATCCCAACAAGCCACTTTTTTATTACTAGTGTTTGAATTTCAGCGACTCAGCACACAACTAGAAGTACATTATGCTTTTTACTTCTAGGAAACATGTGGCACATCAGCTGTGTGTTTAATTCATTGAAGGTAGCTTGAGTAGAGGCTGCATTGCGTGTTTGACCATTCGTGATGTACGGAGACAGATGGAAGCCGCAACATCACCGACACAAGACTAGTAAGTGTTAGTTTGGCGCGCGGCGAGGAGGAACACAGAAGCAACACCTTCCTCAGAATGTGTGGGAAACTGCAGAATGTCTGAGTCTGTTTAATTGGGAAAGCTGTTGTAGCAGACTGTCTGGTAATTCCTCTGAGATAGACATGTAAAAGTTCCATTTTTGTTTACTATTTTCCCGTGTGCTTCACTAAATGGCATATTCGATCTCTTAACTGTCTTTTGCCACAATTAGACACCTCAAATAATGTTTGCTAATCACACAGAGAAACAAAGAAGCTCGCTAGCGGGATGTGAAAACTAGATGAAATCACAAAGGTAAAGATATACATATTCAATGATTAAACAAACGGCAATAAATGCAACGAGCTGACTTACATCAAGTGGCCATTTAAGGTGACAGCCATTGCCTGATGTCATCGTGGCGGTGGCACCATGAATCGGCGAAGTGATGGAACTATGATAAGGCACCCGAGCCGTCCCTGTGGTCCTATTTGGCGTAAGTGGATGAAGCACATCCTTAAGTGTTTCCTGAGGAACGGACCTAATGAAAAAACGTAAAACTGGCTTCAGTGAATGAAGACGAGTTCTGGCGCGTGTCAGCCTCCGCTCACCGCCTCTCAGCTGAAGGAGTCAGCTTCTTGGATTGATTTCTGGTGAGTGAAGCCTTTTCGAGGAGCTCCGATTCACGGGACTCAGCATTATTTTTCCTGTCCAGCTCCGTCCTTTTAACCGAGAACAAACGAAGCAGCTCCCTGAAATAGCCCCGGAGAGGCAAAGGTCGAGCATTGTCGAGCACTCTGAAGAGAATCAATGCGCTACTGAAATGTCCAAACCTCACAACTCAGACATGGAAGGAAAAAACATTCAGATGACTCGTGCCTACGGCTTCATTAATGAGTTTGCGCATCATTAAGAGTAGTAACCCTGAAAAATATTCTTTCTACTTTTCATGCCATTCAACACACCAGCTGCTGACATTAAAGATGCACACGTCCACGTGCATTCTTTAGGTGCTATTGTAAACCAAGAAACGGTCCTAGCTGTGCACTGGGCCCGCTGTGAGCTCCGTCTCTGTGTGTGGGTGAAGGTCAGAGCTGTCCTCTGGCTATAACCGGCACGCTGTTGCAGCCACGTGCCGGCTGACAGAAACCATCCAGCGCTGCCTGCCGAGCTTCTGTTTAACCAGAGCCAGGTGGAGCAGCCAGGAGGGCCCATCAGGGGTCACGCAGGCCTGCAAACACGTTCGTTGTAGGTGGAACAAAGACATACTGAGCAAACAGGAGGATCGTTGGGATTTTAGTATTATATTTTGTCTCATGAAACAACAAATTGACATTTCTGTGAAAATATTGCGTAGCTCAGACTTCACCTCTCTCCTCACGGACCCGCGGAAGAGACTCAGCTCTCGGCATTGTTTCCATCTGTGCACGATGTACTACTCCTTCGACGTGCTGTGTAATCAATCGCCCGCTTGGGGCCGTTCGTTCAGCCGCATCGTGCACAGCAAGCACATTCCCAATTGAAATGATTTTGATCTCTACTTTTAGCCCCTTTGCTATGCAAAGCATGCAACGAGCTGAGCTGGCATCTTGTCAATGTGAATCCAGTGAGGCAGTTAGCACAATGGTTACGTCCGCCTCACTAACAACAAACGTGGCCGTATGGAATCACAGACACATCACAGAAATTAGCTGAAGAATCATTGAGTATGTGGAGATAGAAATAGTAATGCGCATGGCTTCATATTTGCCACTATGGACTTGCATTTGTGATGCGGAGCATCACGTCAACGTTGCTGAGCCTCAATACCAGTCAGACGGCTCACATCGATGCTCAAACCTGCTCTGTGTGTGCAGGACACAGCCGGCCAGGAGCGCTACAGGACCATCACCACGGCGTACTACCGCGGGGCCATGGGCTTCATCCTAATGTACGACATCACCAACGAGGAGTCCTTCGGCGCTGTGCAGGACTGGTGAGTCGCCTAAATCCTTCCTTTTTCTTTGCGGGACGGGGGGGGCGTCATCTCTCGTGCCACCTCTTCGTGTGGGTCGTACCGAATCAATACGAGCAACAAATCAATGGCGGAAAAAGGGCTTCCTATTTGTCGCCATCAGTCCTTTACACGCAATATATGACAGTATTCTCTCTCTCATATTTGACAGCTTTGGTATGTTCGTTCGTCATTTGTGAAGATCTAGAGGGAACTTGTCAAGGTCATGGCTCTCCACCACTCATGAGTCATGGAAGCGTCTGCAGGCAGACGAGCAACTCTGAGCCGAGCCCAAATGTCACTTATGATGATGCATTGGTGGCTATAATAGGACTTTGATTTGGCTGCAGAAACGGGGTTTCTGGGTTAGGACTCTTGCTCTAGAAACAAGCGCCTCCTCATCAGCGCTAAAGCAGATATAAGTGTGTGTTGGATTTCCATTTTCAGGTGTTCCTCCCCATACCTCGACCCTCCATTTTACAGCTTATTTACACGCTGCCGTCCTGCAGTTATCTCCGTCTGCCAGACCACAGAGATCTTAGGAGCACAGAGCGAGCTTCTGAGTCATCATAGTGATTTCTCATAAAGCCCACGTGACTCACGCAGACTGGATAAAGATGCTGTGTTTTTGCAGTTGCCTCATGGATTGCATGCATTGTAGGACTATGACAATCGCTATTAAGGCCAGTGTCTGCTTGGCTCTTGTCACTTAGCTAGCAGCGCTTGACAGCTGCTGTAGGAAGCACTTGTCACAGTTAAAGCAGCTGAATTTGAAGCGCCCACATATTTGGTGTTCTTCAAATTTGGCTGAAACGTTTGAAAGAATGTGCGACCGAGACGATGCGCTATCATTGGCACGGCTTGTTTTTTTAAATGCTTCGCATTAACAGCCTGATTTGTGTTAGAGTAGATTCAAAGCCATTGAGGAAAAACAGTTTTTTTTTTTTAGTGAACTGAGGTCGGAGTCAGACACACCTATTGTTCCTCCGAGGCTGTCTGACCACTGTCTGTGAAAGGCACCCTAATAAATGGAGCCAAGTGTGGCAGTGACACTCGTGGACAGTTACCTGTGAGCGCACGTACCAGACTGTGCACCTCAACCTTTTTCTTTACCCTTCATATCACCAGAGTTGCTCCTTTTTCCTCCCGTGCCACAGGGTTTGATTCCACTCTCTCTTTCCCTTGTTCCTTGTGACAAGGTTGTTGGAAAAAAAAAAAAAAAAAAAGAGGCTGCCATGGCAACAGCTCCCTCTCCGACGGCGGCCCGAATTAAGCTCGTGACGTGCTCGTTTCCTGCCAGTGACAGAGACAAAACAGGGAGATATTGTCACGCTGACATCAAATGGTCTTTGAAGAAATCATGCGGAGTGGATTACGCAAATCATTTTATTACAGCGACCGGCTCGGAGCGTTTACCTTGCAATTATCTTTTGTCCTTGGTTTTCCATCGACCACATTATAGCGCCGGCAGACGTACAGACCTTTTGTAGCCTGCATACGCAGCAGCTTTGTTTGACCTGATACAAACACTGATGTGTCAATATTATCAGCAGTTGGTTTTAAAATGACCCACATCTGAACCGCTAACGGATCCAAACTGGACAGCGAGAGAGGAGGAGTTACGACATCATGCTATTCTCTCTCTCTCTCTTCTTCCCTTTCTTACTGTCTTTTTCTGTAGTGATTTCAGCCCGTAGTGTGTTAGTTGCCCTACTTTCAGTCCGGCTGCAACACCAGAGGAGATATTTCGTCTGTAAACGCCTTCTGAAAGCCAGTTGAGACAAATCACCTCTCAGATTTACCGTATAATTCCTAAAATATTCATTTTTATCAGGATGTTTATCATTCTCTTGACCTGAAGGTGTAAGACACAGAGCTCAAATATCAATCCACTTTTGCAAGGCGTGTGTCTTCTGTATAATTGGCCTTCATTTAGCCAATCAGTGTTTCCCATGTTCTATTTCAGCGCCGAAAATATGACTGTGTGTCCAGAAGGCTCTGTGTAGCACGTACAATCAATAAGAAGTTAGCAGGAAATAAATACTAATTCTAAAGGAAAGGATTAAAAAATGTCCAGACGTCAATGTCAAATAGCCAGAGAACCAAATGACCTGCTATCAGTGATTCAAGTATAGTGATGCAATCGCTGTTCATGACCGACTTTACGTCACGTCCTTCGCTCTGCCACCAATTCTGCAGAGCAAAAAGGGGCACGAAGCCCATCCTAACGAGTTATTAAAGAATTTAACAATAGCATAGTTATTTGACTGTGATGCTTTAAATTAAAAAAATGTTTCTGATTACCTGCAGGTCAACACAGATAAAAACCTACTCGTGGGATAATGCACAGGTGGTGCTGGCTGGGAATAAGTGCGACATGGAGGAGGAGAGAGTGGTCTCAGTGGACAGCGGCAGGCTGCTGGCAGAACAGTTGGGTAAGTCTCGGAGCAGCATTCAACCCTCTATACTATTTTTCAATTGTCATTGCTGTTGTTGTGATTGTTTATGACATCATCCTTCTGCTACCAAAGAGCTGCTTCCATCTTTTTCTTCTCCCACGAATGTAACACAAAATATTCAGAATAAAATGGTCCTCTTGTCTCCTCCTCTTGTCATCTCTCTCTCTCTCCCTCTGTCCTCTTTCCAAGGGTTCGAATTCTTCGAGACCAGCGCCAAGGACAACGTCAACGTGAAGCAGACCTTCGAGCGTCTCGTTGACCTCATCTGCGACAAGATGTCCGAGAGCTTGGACTCGGATCCGGCCGTCACCACAGGAGCTCCCACCGCCAAACTCACGGACAGCGCTCCGCCCCTCCAGCAGCCCGGATGCAACTGTTAGTGACTGATGCCAAAAGGGAAGCCAAAGGGATGGTGGTAGAGTGTGCAGAGCCGTATTCTCCCTTATCACTCCCGCTAGCGCCGCTTCCTCCGGACTACAGTTCAAACGCTGTTTAGTGGTAGAATTACACAATGCCGTCTGTCATCTTCATCACCTTATATCAAGAGCAAATAACCAGACAGACAGACACGGATATTGCAAACTGTCGTTGACATTACACAATTAATAAAATGTAGAGACACCGTATTCTTAGTCCTCAGCTAGTTAGTATGGTCATAAACCAAGTACGTCCACAGACATGATGTACAGTTAGTCCTCAAGATCTTTAAGACCTAGAATAATTATAAAATAAGAGATAGAGTAAGTGAGTGCTTTGATTTTCATTTTTTGTACAGTACGTATTTTCTTTTTATAGGATTGTTTTTGTCTCTTAAAGCTGCCAAATCTATGATTTAGTGCACTAAAGGATGTAGCGGCTTTCTTTTGTTTAGTGAGTGTGTGACTGTACAGTACGTGTGTGTGTGTGTGTGTGTGTGTGTGTGTGGGTGTGTGTGTGTGTGTGAGAGTATAACGTGACAAATGAGTGAAACTCTGTGATCGAAATAGGTTGTCTACCTTGGACAAAAAAGTGGCCTTTTCCATCTCCAACAGGGCCTCCGTAAAATTCCCTTTGTCCTGCTTACTTTTAGAAAGAGTCCCGTCTATGTAGCGTCAATGTACTATTCTACGTTTCGCTGTCTGTAGTGTGATTTTTCTAATAAGTATATCTGTAAATCCTAAAAGCAGCTACTTCGATGTGCTTCGCCTCTTAGGACCCGTTTTAGTTTGATGCAATGAGCATGCTGCCAAAAAGCCAAGCATACGTTTTATCTACAGAGAACACAGACATCACCGGCTCCACGTCATGGCAACAATCCAGCATTTCATTGAATAAAAATGCCAATGCACACTACAAGGTATAACATAACAAGGGATCAGCTCTGGCATGGAATAAACAGCCATATATAAAGAATATATAGGAATTGTTTCAATTTAGCATGGCAAAATGTCACGTTTGTGCTATAAAATAATTCCGTCCTGAAAGAGGAACATCATACCTGAACAGTAGTGCTTTTAAAGATAACCGAAGCCCTGATAGTATAAAGGTTGTTGCCCCTTTTACGATCCGGAAAGCCTTTTAGTTCTGCAAAAAAACATGTGTGCCAAAACAATACTAGTCCTTTAGCATCGTCAGTTGTTTGTTGCATAGTTAAATAAAAAAAATAAAAATATTGCATGAAGCCAATCCCGACTTATCTATGTAGATTTATATAATATGACAGTGTGTATATATATATATATATATATATATATATATATATATATATACATGTATATCAATCACTCTGTGTTACAGATTTAGATGCGTTTTCATAGCACTTGCTGTGAGATGCAATGGGCCAATACGTGCAATATTTTATGAATGAAACCCTGTACATAGTTTCTCCTGTCCTCGAGTACTATGACTCTATCTGCAGTACGTGAGAGGCAGTCTGGTCACAACGGCTCTGAAACTGATGTACAATCTCTGAAAAAGGGGAGAGTGTGCGTGCGTTTGTGTGCGTGTGTGTGTTTGGGTTTGAGTGTGTGGGTGTGTGTGTGTGTGTGCCTGCCATGTTGAACAGACAAATTACGTAACATAGTGTATTGTTTGTGTATACCTTTTGTACAAATGTATTCACGTACTATATGCTGTTCCTGCTAACTGTTGGGTGTCGATTGATCTCGTATTATCACGTCAAAATGCGGTGTTGTTGTGAGCGAGTCAGGGAGGGTCCTTAGTCCACGCCATACTGTTGTAAATCCAAGAAAAGGGACGCACATAAACTAGTTCAAAGACCCTGCGCATATTAGTGTACACGTTCGTCGTGCGTGTGCATCCGTGCGTGTGTGTGTGTGTGTGTGATATTATGATTTCATGTAAGTAGCCATGAAATAAATTACCGTGCTGATCGCCAGTAAAGACTCATTTGATAAGAGGAATCGCTACGTGACGACCTCCAAATAGTCGCTCTGGTCAAATGTCATTGTATTACCGTACGACTTTACATATTACTGGATATATTTGTTTCTCAGAGCGCAAGCAAAGTTAGGAGTATGTTTTTTTGAGATTATAGGAAATAAATCAAATCCTATCAGTGGATCTGTGTGTGCTCTCTCTCTCTCTCTGCTGAGTGTACAGAAGCATGACGGGGGGCCCTCTGACCTTGGCCGCCTGCCTCCTGCTGCAGCTCAGACGCCTGGTCTTCTAGGTGACGCACACCACCTAGCGTCGGAGCGCTGCGCCAGCATCTCATTAGTTGTAGCTTGGGATGAATGTGCATCATTCAACAGTATTTGGGGTTTGTGGGAAAGAACGTGAACTTGTTTTCGTGTACATTGTGTGCTGTATAAAACTTGCACAGTGCATTTTAGAGGCAAATAAGACTTTTGACTCTACTGAGTTACTTTGAAGACTAAGAATTGACTCACAATGACTTGATATATCTTGAATATCTTAATAAAAATGCCACTGACCTGTATCAGTAATAATTTACATTCTCTCATATATTGTATTTAAGTATAGTAATGAGTCACGCGGGTAATAATAATTCCAATTTCCTAAAATGAAGCGACAAATATATTTTTCCGCTTTTCATAAACATACGAAGTGTGTGATTATTCTATGAAATGACAACTAATCTAGTAACAGTAGCGAACTCAGCAACATAAGCTACAACAAGAAAATAGAGCTTAACAGTAATACATGAACAATAATAATTATACAATAATATATATTATAGAAATGTAAAAGGCCTTTTAAGAGCTTTTGATGCTGTAAAACAGAACACACTAAACTGTACACGCTCTACATATCAACGTGTATAATAAACCCGGTGTAAATTACTGCAAACATGTTATTGAGGGTTCTATTGATCATAGCCTGCTATCTCGGAGAAATCAAATCATTGCACCAATGTTACCAACAAACAGTAGATGCACATGTACATCTCACACTTGTGTTTTACCATCTCAGACAATGATAAGAAACCAGTAAGTAGGCAGAATCAACCCATGCTTTTATTTAATCCATTGCATATAAAAACTTTTTTTTTCATTGTTTTTATTTCTTTTTTTACACAAAGTTGTATGATCTACAGTGCTATCCAATAGACTGCAATTAACAAGAAAATCCATTAAAATAACATTTTACTTGTCCTGTGAAACTTACAGACAAGTTGGCATTCTAAAGACATAACCCCAAAAAATAATTGTCCTGAAGACCTTTTTTTAAGTTACAGTTTGTGTTTTCCTTTCATACCATAAAAAATACAACACAACAATAATGAGAAAAGAACCCACTGTTTCCATTGGTCCAGGGCTGTTTAGAATCTACAGTATGTGTGTCAAAATAAGAGTCCCCGTTTCGGGACTATGATGCACTCACCCACGACCCTCGCCCCGCCCGTCCCGTCCCTGTCCCTCCCGCCCTCCACTACAGAGACATACTAAACCCTCCCGCCCGTCCAGGCAGAACGATCTCAGTGGTTTGGGATATTGCAAGTAATGTGAGTGGAAGTGTGGGGCCGAGCATAGATAAGCAACACACTGTCAGTGTTTCAGCCATAATTAATGCAGCAGTGGCTGAACATGCAGATGTGTCTCAGAGCCTCTGTTGCTTCGTAGCCTTCGGGTCCAGCAGCAACTCCGCCGTCCCACCGCGCCCCCGTTCAGTGTTTGTGGCTGCCGATGCGACCTCGAGGATGCAGACGCAGAGACTCTGCTCGCGCTCGGGTTTCACATTTGTGAGTTGAGTGCCAGGGCCCCAAAAAGGGGGGGGGGGGGGGTGGGGGGGGATGCGAGTTGTTGGGACCAGGTCTACAGCAAATGCGACTCTTGGACATCCGGCTACGGGCCACACGTCAGTCAAGTAGTACATCGATGGCTCGCGGTTGAACTGAATCCCCGCGAGCTTCTGCACTGTCGACGGATGTTCTACCCTTTTTTTTTTCTTTTTTTCTTTTTTGATAGAGCAATTTGTGTTTGGCTGTGATAGTAGAAAGGCAACGTTTTCAAATTCACAACTTGAGATCAGGCCAACCCAAGTCAAAGGATTCACTACTAATGCAGCAAAAGAGAACTAGAAAATAAAACGAAAAAAAAAAGGCTAAAGTAAATGACATGCGTTGGATTTAAGGCACAGCCCATGGGCCAAGGAACAGTTTCTTTTTAAAAAACAATTTGGCTTTCCCTCTCTCTTCACTGAGCTACTTCTCAGATAAGCAACATGTCGATGGATCATTTTTACACTAAAGCTTGTGTGTAATAAATATTCTCCCAACAAGAGGTACGTAATACAGCCACACCATCACCAAAAGGGATGATAAGAATCAACCATTTACAACAAACGGCATTATGATAGTAATAACATTAATAATTATATATTATATACAGCACAATAAATATATGTTTGTAAACAGCGATAAAACTAGAAAATGTTATTACAGGTAAGGGCATTGGGTGAGGCAGAAAAAAAGTGAAATCTTGGCACAAAACGAAAGATTAAATAAAACAATTTAACATAATCAAAAAAGCTCTTTAAAAAAGCGATGTGCGGCATTTCAAGTGTTTTTTTGTTTTTGTTTTTTATACATTTGGATGTGTTTCTATATTTTATGTACACAGAAAAAAAAAAAAAGTATATTTGGGTTTTTGTAACTGCCAAGCCTGTACTGTGGTCTATGCTACAGTTAAATATTTACTGTACCACCTTTATATTGCAGAAACGACTGAACAAATAGAAACATATACCAATAAATAATAGCATCGGGTGTAAATAAAATTAAAAAAAAGAAAGAAACATGGAAAAAAGGGGGAAGTGTCTTGGCCGAGGAGTGAGAAAGCAATGTTCAAGTGTAAGTATCCATGAGTGAGGGATTTGGCCAGTTTAAACACATGGAACCTAAAGAAGCGGTGATATATGAATATATATCAGTGCATTAGAGTATCTACGTAGAGGATAGTCGTATCTGATGATTACACAACAGAGCTGATTGTCTTGTAGAAAACAAAGACAGCAACTGGGTTCAATGTTGTCGTGGCAAAATGAAGCATTGTTTAGATGGGAAATTGTGGCTGGAAATAAGCAGGCATGAATCTGTGGATGATGTGCACATCAAACAATATGGGCACCGAAGATAAAAGGACAATAAAAATCTCTCATGACATTGGTATAAAAATCACACCAGTGGATTTTAACACCATCAATATTTCTGAATACTCTGAACACTAATCAAGCTTCTAAAAAAAAGGTGCTTCTTGTATCAACTACAAAGCATTGCATTGTCTCAGGATGTGTTCAAAAGAACTGCAGGCAACAACAATAAAATGTCAGAAAGTGTTTCAACGAAAGTAAAGCATATGGTTCCTGCACTCTTCTCCGTGAAAACTTTACCCAAATAATAGCTTTTATGATTAATCTCCAAATTACAACTCACAGGATTAACCAAATGTGGGTATAGTAGCATGGGAGCAGTTGTATAAATGCTAATGGGGCAAAAGTGCAAACACCTCCGATCACTCCTTATCTAACCGTCGTCGTGAAGATATGCCTTCAAAATGCTGGACATCTATGACACACTTCTGCCACCGATTTCCAAAAGTTCTCTTCTCTTCTCTGCCAACAAAAGGAAAAGCCTCAGGTGCAAAAGTAAATTCTAGAAAATATCAGAATCTTGTTACAGTACAATACAAAAATGAAAGAGGTCTAGGACAGCGCCGCCGCTGTGTAGTTTTGAGCTTTGTATCAGTCAGGTTTTTCGAGGAAGACTTCTACGTCAGAAATGTGTCTCAAAAAAGCTCCCCGGAGTGCCGCAGCTTTCACCCCCGCAGCGTCCCGGTGGGGCTTCAGCATTACATGTACGTGCCTCCTGACCCCCAGAGGGCAGGAAATGACCTAACCGAGATGGAGGTGCCGATAACCGTCTCTGTAGAGAGTATGGGCACTTGATAAAAGCACTGCTAAACATTTCAGGCAAGGCTGAGGCCAAGCGGGGAGAGGGGACAACGTGATATGCGGAGTGGGAGGGGGGCGGGGGGGGGTAGAGGGGGGTGGAGCAGGCCGAGCTGCTCGTCCGTACGCCGAGTTGAAGCGCGTGGAAAGGAGGCAAAAAAGGGAAAGAGGGGCACAACTTCAATACAGACGTGGATGGGGAGGAGTTTTCCTGAGTGCAAAAAAAATAAAAAATAAGTTGAAGAAGTACCGGTGGGCGTGTCTGACCAAAGCCGACAGGAGGAGTGGCCAAATTGGGGAGCAGCACACACTTTGGAACCATAAACATTAGATGTATAAAAAAAAACAAAGACAGACTCCACAAAACCCAAAAATATTCTATAAATAATCATCTGTCGTTACTAAGAAGAATCAGGCGGTGTCCATAAACTGCTATGTGTGGGGGGCTTCCGCTCCCTCCTCCTGCTGCGCCGCCACCTCCTCCTCCACAGCACGCGGCTGTGAACAGGAGGTCTCTCCCTCTTCCGTTACCTCCTCCTCCTCCTCTCCTTCGTCCTCCCCCACCTGTTCGTCCAAAGGAATCTCTGTGGATTCAGAGTCTTGCGTGCACAGCGTTTTAGAGTCAGTACAGCTGTTTTCTTCGTCTTCTTCTTCTTCCTCGTCATCATCCTCGTCATCCTCCTCCTCCTCCTCCTCCGGCTGGCTGCCGCTGTCTTTCTCAGTGTCCGACTCCCCGTCCTCCTCCAGGGTGAGCTCGAATTGGAACTTGTCCCCTCCTGGGGGCCGACTGCCGTCCTCGGGGTCGTCCAGGGCCGGAGAGGGGCTTTGGGGGATGGTGCTTTGGTACCACTCCCTGTTGTCTTCTAACGTGTCGAGGATGTCCTGAGCGTCCGGGTGGACCAGGTCAGCCCAGGTCTCCCACAAAGGGTGAACGATGTAGTCTATGAAACCAACCTACAGGGTGCATGAGGGGGAGAAACAGGTCATGTAATCTGTCTGTGCACGTATATGCACACATGTGTGTGTGTGTGTGTGTGTGTATGTGTGTGTTACCTGGCTCTTTTCTACTGAGGCATTGTGTTTGTCACACATGGGACTGATCTCCATGCCCCTCTCCCTCTCTCGGTCCCCCTGGCTGAAGAACTCGTCCATGATGCGGTCCGTCCACTGCCGATACAGCTGCAGAGGCTTGGTGGGGTTGCTCAAATCTGCACAGTGCACCATGTTCTGGAGAACCTGAAACATAAACAAAAGTTTTAAAGTTGTTAAAAATGGTCGCCCATGGCTACATTTTGCATGTCACAACTTTGGGAAGCATCAGATTGTGAAGTGCATTTGAACTTTGATACAACTTATTGTTCCTGTTCTTGCTGGGGACCCGTCTCATCTTTGACTGCACATTAAACCCAACAAAACACACAGTGACGTGATCGTTCAGTTTGCTGCATAGTCTGACCTGTATCCTGTCGGAGTAGTTGTCCAGCAGCAAGACACCGGAGCTGGTCACCTTCTTGGTTTCCACCATAGTTTTCAGATCAGCCAGTAGGTTCATGTGCTTGGACATGTCGGTTGCTAGCACCTGGGGATAACCAGCACGAACCGTTAGCATTCAATACAGAAATATGGGGGTTCCACTAGATACTTCCTTTCACTTACAATGTCAATGACCATCTTTCGCAACGATTGTCTTTGTTTTTTGTTCAGGTTTTGGAAGATGTCACAGTTCTCCTCTTGTAGAAGCTTGAAGCCAACTGCTAGATGGTGGTTCTCCAACACCGACGAGTCATTGTACATCAACGCCAGCTCTGAATCTGCAAGGAGGACACCATCCGTCATTTTAGCTCGAGGAATTGTTTTTTTCCTTCCGGTTTCAAACACCATCATAAAAAAAACATGATATCTAACATTTTGGAAGGAAATACAAATGCAACCAAGTACCAATTCACAGCAGAACGCAGTCCTAACAAGAGCTACACAGTTCCCTCCTAACAGGCCTCTCCTCGTGGCGTGTGACACGTGCACCGTCCCTCCCTCGCGCCGTGAGCGGCAGTAGAAGGCACCGGCATGTTTTCCCCCGAGAGGTCTCCCCACTCGGGGTCATTCCAATGTCCTCTAGCTGTATTTAGCTTTCCCATTAAGATGCATTAGTCTTGGCCGCAGTGGAACTGAGCAGCGGGGATGGCGGGGGGGTCCTGCTCTGTTGCTCTGTGGCTGACAGAAGATCAGTCGGGTGGCTCCTAACTGGGATGACTCACACTGTCTTTACTGCAGGGATTCCCTGTTTGGGCTTATGGGAAGCACAACACATTCTGTGAGTTAAGTGCGTGTGAGGGTGCGCAGTGTATTTCTGTTCTGGTAAAAGTGTGTTCTAATACTCTTATGAAACACACACTTTTGTAATGGGATGCTGAATGATTACTTAAGGAACATACCCAGTGGATTACAATTATATCTTTTTATGTTTTTCTCTAAAAAAACTGTAGTTTTGCTTTTATATTTCCAGATATTTTTCTGTGTCCACTTTACAATTGAGGTGAATGCAAATGTATTTGTGATGCTTACAGCAATAAAAACAAAACAACGGTCGAATGTAAAAAATAGGACACCTCCAATTAAAATAAATTAAAAATAAATTATTTGTCCAGACGGAAAAAATTGCTTTTGATTCACAAAAAAAAGAAATTCTTCAATGCCGTAAAAACAACAGATGACATTGAATTAATTGCATTTTTCCCTGATTACAGATATTTCAATTACCAACAAGCCAACAATCCCAATTTTTTTATGCAATTCAACTGTCTGACATAGTGCAAAACAGATTATGTCTCAAAGTCTGCCACAAAAATGCAGATAAACCCGGATGAGATTAACACACAGTGCAGGCGAGTTGTTGATCGATTGCAGAAACAACATCAGTGAAAACAAAATAACCATTTGAGCAGCTAGACAAACTGGTCTGATGCTTCGGCACAGGACACCAAACAAAGAGTGCGCTCTACTATATCCAAGTCTTTGGGCCGACGGTTTTCTTCCTGACAGCATGTTAGCCTGAGTGATGACGTAACTCGAGGAAAGGACCTTCTTGCTGTCCGAACCACGGAGCCACCCGAGGACCATTGATATCCATCTCTTTTAACTCCTCCTCCTTGGGAACGCTTGTTTAAGCATCACACCAGACTAAAAGGTGTGTTCTTCTTTGAATATTTTGACCCTTTACATGCAATAAATATGCATCCAATCTTGTTTTTTTACATGGTTAACTTAAAGCGGTGAGGCAGAAGCTACAGTGTGCATGTTCCCACCTGGGTAACAGACTATTCTTGTTTGTGAATACGCACTAATGACACCGCTGAGGCACTGACGTAGCTGCCAAGACGGCGCCAGATTTAGACTCACTGGTGTTGATGAGGAACTGGTTGGAGACACCGGGGTGGTCCACGTCGTGAATTGCACTGGCAAAGATGGCAGCTAGGATCTCCAGGTCTGTGAACACGGCCTGGAAGAAGAAGAAGAAGAAGAAGAAGAAGAAGAAGAAGAAGAAACCAAAGGAGCAGAGGGGAAAGGGGAAGGGCATTAACGAGGGGATGAAATGGTTGGACCAAAATATCCCTGCAAGTAAGAGCCGTTGATTGGACTTTGAGCTGTAGTTTGATTGAAGCTGATTGTGGAAGAGTGGGCTGCGTGTTAGTGCGTGCATGTATGTCTGTGCGAGTGTGTTCGCCCGCTTTGAAAGTGCACACGCGCCTCACCTCGAGGGCAGGGGTGGAGAGAAGCACGTGAGTGGACTGGGTGACGTCGGCAGCATGAATGTTGTTATGGTAGGCCACATCCCCATGATAATGGTCTTCTAAGGTCATCAGGTAGGTTATAAAGGTGTCAAGTGGAATTTTAAACGTTTTGAGCAAGTCCCTCTCCTGTGAAACACAAAACGGAGGAAAAAGAGAGGAAACGATTTCAGGATTCAACAGGCAATGAATTGAAAGATCGAGAGAGAAAGATAGCGACAGTTCTTACCTGGAATATAGTGTACATCATGACTGTCAGCGGCCGATTCCCAGAGAACTCTGCGATTTTAAAAACGTTACGGCCCCATTTATTCACATGCTCGAGTTCCTGGAAAAAAAGCAATGAGATAAACAGTTAAAAAAAAAAAAAAAAAACCCATCCTTTTTATATTTTCTTCCTTCATTATCCGCTGAGCCCCTAAGCCAAAGTACACATCAGATGGTGCACGCTCTATTTATGTGAACGCGCAACATATCTTAGTTGTGTAACGAACCTTAGCTAGTTCATCCTCCGTCTCGGACTTGACGCCGAAGCGAGGGATATTAGAGTTTGTGAGGCTGGAGGAGTGCTGCAGCTTCTTCACCCCGATGATCTGAGACATGGGCTTGTTCTTCTTCTCCTTCTCCTTCTGCGTCTGCGGGGTTGGCATCTCCACTTCATGTTGTTTGTCTGGAGAAACGGGGTGGGAAATAAGCGCAAGGAGAACATGAGGATGATGAAGCCTTTTGTTGCAGTTGGATTCATCTTGTAGTGGTTCAACCAGAAAAAGAGACCAGGTTTTATTCCCGTAAATTGAGGCTGAATTCCATGTGATGGTACCTGCGTGCTGCCTGTGTTTGGGCCTATAGACAACAATATTCATCTTCATCTTTACTTCTCAGGCAGAAGGAGAACCTGTGAGTGTATTATTCTACTTCATCACTCACCCAGGAAGGTGCTGGAGATGAACTCAGACACCTGGTTCCCAGAGCGGCTCATCTCCGAGAGGTGAGTCAGCTCCCTGTTCAACATCCTCTTGAACTGAAGGAGGGACACACACAGATGAGGGGGGTTCACAGTGTGTAATACAGGGCAGAAAATGTTTAATAATGATTACCCAATATCAACAGAGAGACTCCAAAAGCGATCCAAAAGACATAAATATTTCACGTTAATCCTGATGTGTTTGGGCCACTAATGCTGAGCCTGTTCTGATCAATGACGTTGTAATTTACAATCATTCAATGCTTCCATAAAAAAAGACCTTCCTGCCTTTTACTAAATTTCTAGTCACACCACAGGAGCTGTACCAGGAACGTCATCATGTCCAGTTTAGCACGTGTGCACAAACACACAAAGCAGGGTCAGAGTGCAACCGGCAGTTATCTACACAATCAGCGACCCAATTTACCACGTACTTTCTTTCAATTTCAGTTTTCCTCTGCCACAGTGCCGGCCCCTCCCTCGCCCTATTCTCGCCTCGGTCTCCTTTGCCTACAGTAACTGGAGTGGCAGACCCACATTTAGCTGCAGGTTTTGACCAACCTGATTGACGTGGAGGAGGATGCTTGAAATTAGGGGCTTTTGTAAGTGGGCAACAGTTACAGAACGGATTGAAAATCAGAACCCCGAATGTCTCACTCATTCTGGCGTCCGTCCAAATGCATCATTTATTCATACTGATTAAGTGTATATCAATATTGATCACTTAAAATAGACCATTACTACACTGAAGAGTGCTTTCTGCGCAATTGTGTATTGACATCTTATTGAGTAACACCCACGGGCGATCATTGGATGGCTTTTTAAAATGGAGACACAAGAGGCAAAGAGCCATCTGTGGTGTGCTTTTGTCCGATAAGAAGAGCCTGAACAGGAGAAAAAGCTGCAAATGCACAAGATCTATTTCTAGCTTTTTTTAGTTTATTTTATTTGGGAACAAATTCAATTTGTACCCAAAATGAAAACCATTAATAAAATGTACATGTGGAGCATCTCAACTACCAAGAGAATCGTTGTCCTAGAAAAGTCTCTTAACAGCTTGTGTATTCCATCTAAGACACATAGCTGAAATAACCAACTCAACCACATAAAAGGGAAAATTTCTCCGCATTTAAAATCAAATTCACAAAAAAATGCAACTACGCATGTTCTTCTTTGCCACACCCTCCAGCCATATCAACACCTTCCAAACCATCACAGATGTACCAACATGGATAATGGATCCAGAAACGTCACCGCTTTCAAGCTTTATTCAACGGATGGCATGTTGGCGAGGAGCACCGTGCCGTGGGTTCTTTCTATTTGTAGTCATATAACCCTGAATCCAAATATGTGTCAAGGATGAAACACTCAGGAAATGAATGACAATCACATTGAAGAAAGAAAACAACAAAGAAACACGCACGAGTGATTCATTTACACAGACGAATCCGAGACCAGATCTTACCTTTATATATCCCCAGGACACAGAGAGCAGGTAATTAACTTCAGGCATGTTGATAACCAACACAAGAGCTCCACAAACGGAAAGGTACGGGTCTACGGCCCCAAACACAGTTCGGAGGATGAAAGTGCCGGAACGCCAGCAAAAAAAAAAAAAAAAACGTCCGCAGGTCTGGCCAGCAAAAAATAAATAAACTTCAACCTAAAGAGCCTTCGATGGTCACCTCAAAGTCCATAAACAGTGAACAGTAATGCTCTGGTCCTGCGAATATCCACAGAAATGAGCCCATGTCGCAGGACGCAGGGAGGAAAAGCAGATTGTGAGAGAGGAGCAGCGGGAACGTGGCTCCCCAAAGATCCGCTCAGACCACACACACTGTGATGCACATGACATGTGCACACACACACACACACACACACACACACACACAGTGGGATACAGGGACGCGCTGCTGAGGTTGTGAATAATTGATGATGGTGCGGATGCTCGGTAGATGCCAAAGCACCGGGACGGCATGAAAAAAATGAATCTGTCAACAGCTTCCAAAACCCGGCCCGACTGGCTGCCAGCCCGCCTCTGTGTGTACGACACCAGCTCCCATGTGAAGAGCCAAAGCTGCTTCGCCTGCCGTGTCACACAACAGCAGCAAATCAGAGCCCAGATCTGGGAGAAGTGTGAGCTCATCATCACCTCTGATTGGCTTGGATTGGAGCGGACTCGAAGTCACCTGCTGTGTGATTGGCTGGGACTGAAGTCAGTGGAAAATCTACCTCTTCCTTTTCCTTCCATTCCTGCAGTGAGGCGGGATGTGTGTGTGTGTGTGTGTACATGCTGTACTTGTTTATTTGAGCGTATACGAGACCTATTTACGTTACATGCAGAACTACGTATGTGTGTGTGTGCGTGTGTGTGCGTGTTGACCGACCTAACCTTCTGTTCAGTGTGATATACAGGACAGGTTACCTCATCTAACAAAGGGGAAGAACGGAGGTCAGCTCTCATGCCAGTATTCATGGGGAATGAGTCACAGTAACAAAACTGTAAAGAAGATGTATCACATGAAAACTAATTAATCTTGAAAAACGAACGAGCGTCACAGTTTTCTGAAGTGGGCTCATTTGAACAAACACACAGGCTGCTGCGTTTGAGTTCAAGAGGTTGTTGCTTTGTAGTTTTTATACAAAGCAGATTCAGGTGAATTAAATTGTGACAAAAACAATTTTGCACCTTGTGACATTGTCTTCATGTTTGATTTATTGAGAACTGAATGATGAATCTTGTTGTTGTTGTTTTTTTTAACCATACATGAGATCCCGTTGAGCTCCATGTTGTGCTTCAAACCTGCTCATAGACAAATGTATGTATGCATCAAAATAAGACTGGTCCTCATTCCCATCTCGCAGCCCGTCTCCTCAAAGCAAAACAAACTGCCTCCAAAACCATTCACAAACAAACTGCTTTCTCTTTGGATCAAAATATGACTTAGGAGCCATATTCTGCCCTTTTACCACAAGTTGATTTGTTTCATTGTGGTTTGAATGAAATGTCTAAAACGTACTGGTCAAAAAACCAACCCATTTAGAGGTCTTCTTCTACTGGGGGCGTGGTCTTCATATATGAAATGACTCCAGTGTTGACCGGCACGCCCACCTGTTTACAACTATCCGCCAGTCTCTGCGCACGGGGGAGTTGTGTTCATTTAACATGTGTTCATTTAATAGTGGAGCGGTTCACACCTGATAAATTGTGCATCCCACCCTTATAAAAGTTATCGATTAGAAATGCATTAATGATTCTAGGGGCAGAATTCAATGAAATGACTGCACAGCTGTAAAGGTTGCCCAAAAAAAGATGCACGGAAAACCGCTTCACCCAAATCAGGGACCTACAATCAATGAACTTGCGTTTGTGAGAGGAGGTTGTTTTCATCAGCGTGTGTGTGCGTGTGAGCACATACAAGCACATGCACATGCATGCGCTGTGTGTCAGTGATGGTCCAGAGGCTGCGTGGATTGAAAAGGGACCAAACCGGTCTCCTGCTTACTTAACACCCCCCCGCCGCCACAGCCCGCCTGGCACTGAGAGTAATTTACAGCAAAGCCGGAGCAGATGAGACCACCGGCTAACTGACATCCAGCAGCTTCCACTGACTCCGAGCCAAGCAGGCTAGCACAAGCCCACCACACACACACACACACACACACACACACACACAGACACACACACCGCGACACCGCGTCGAAGCCCACGGTTTACACAACAACAGCCACAGACCCCCCTCCACACAAACTCACTCCTTCCGTCACACACACACATATTGATAGCTTAGGCAAGAGGTGTGAACACAAACTATTGGGTTGAAATTGGAAAGTGTCACACCGAGCTCAGCTGTGACTTGTGTGTAATTTGCTGTTCGGCGGAGTGACCAGAAATATCCCCTCCCTGCTGCATATAGCCCATGACACCTCCACATCGCTGTTGCGTCGTGTCTTTTCTCACATTACATATTTATTCTGGTGGAGGCGAGCCCCCGCCCCCGCCCCCCCCCCAAACACACACACACACACACACCTTTTTCTACAGAATTACAGCAGAACAGGAACACTAATTCCTGTGACTAACTGCTTTCAGAGAACATAACTAAATGCAACGTCTGCGCTCATTCACACGTGTAACAAAACGTGAAGAGGGAAATCGATCTATTCAGGATGCTTAAAGGTAAAGCTTCAGTTCAGTGATAAATGTTAACAAACTAAACTAGTAACAGAAAAGGGAAAAGATAAATAGATAAGAACGGAGAAAAGCCGTCTACTGTAACTTCACTGTTACTTTAGAAGCCTTTCAACACAGAATGATTCACCGTCTCCGTGGGGAAATGAACAAGTATTGATGATGGGGTGTCCTGGATGACTCACCGGTGGATGTAACACACATCGGAGGCTGGGCTAGACAAAAAATACGTTATGTCGTCTCAAAATTGGGGGCATGTCCTAAAGGTGTTGACCCAATGAACGACGATCCAATAATTATTAAGATGGCTCTGTGTTGTAGGGAAACATAGCGTTTCCACCGACATGAGGGGCAAACAATTATATTTAGTCAGGCTGCACAGAGTGTGTGGTGGCCAGATGTGAGGATATAGGCAGGTGGGTGTAGAAACCACTGCGCTGTCCTCAGTTATTGCTTATTGAACTTTAAATGACCAGGGCTGCAACCTGGGATGCGATATTAAAAATCTATTTGAAAGTATATATTTTGCAGGCTGTTGATTCGGAGGATTGACCAATGTTTAACTCTAACACCCTAATGACATAATGGGACAACTACTTCATGAGCCAACAGAAATCTGGATCACGACACAACCGGTGTGAGACATTTCACCTCCAGCAAATCTCCGACAGAAAATCCTTTTTCTACCTCATATCGGGTTAAATCGGTTCACTGAGAGCATCGTCCTTGTCCTACATTGTTGTTGTACTTGAAAGGATCAAACAATGAAGCGGCATGCCGATCAAACTTGATCGCACACACACACACACACACACAGGCAGAGGCGCCCAGGTGCTGATTCTAGAGACACCCAGAGGCGCCCCAAAAACACCAGCTCAAAACAGATACAGTTGTCTAATTGTGCTCAATTTCTATTCGGTGGTGTATAATGCTGTGTAGTTCGTAGTATGTCTGCTGCCGTGTAAATGCTTCATCAGCTTTGATAACATTGAACATGGCTCGTCCCTGGCGTGAGATCCTTGAGAGCGAAGGTAGGTCGCCTTGTTTGACCCGCCGCTTCAAAAATACCAGCAGCGGTACAACGTGACTGCTAAAGAGCAGTCGTATGGGTGGTGAGCGGAAGTCACCTTCAGAGACCACGAGGTGCCAATGTGTTTGTCGTTTAATTCCTTTTACATTAAGGGAATTTTATTTGATGGTTTTGTTTTAATCTCATAATTTTCCTCGTTGATGAATTATGGCTTTATGGAATTATGTTGTTCGTGTTGATCAATGAACAGGTAAAAGTGTGGGAGATGTGTCGACTGTATTACATTTGGTGTGCGTGAACGTGTTGGTAGAGTGAGACGTCAGGCTGGTTGGGCCTGTGGCTGTTGCCATAACAACCAGGGATAGTTGTCCTGGTAAGTAAAAGTGAGGCGGACGTTACAGTCTTTTTCCCTCCCTTCTTTAAACCTTTTCACTTTTACATGAGGTCCTGCATGTGACCGTGGAAACACCAGCGGTGGATGTGTGCGTGCGAGTAGTTCCTTTGTCTGTCTGTCCTCCGTGCCTCTCATCTTGGTTCATACCCCTTTGTGTGACATCACAGTGTGTGACATCACTAGAGCTGCTCAGCATTCAGGGAGGCACAGTAGCCGTCCTCCACAGACACACACACACACACACACACACACACACACACACACACACACACTGGAGGAAACTGAGCATGCTCACAACACAACTCCCTGCCTGCATTATGATGCTGTCACTAACCAACGGAGATAGTATAACACAAACAGTCCACCGTGCGCTTTGATGGCCGGGTACAGCAAAAAGCATCAAAACACATGTATACAAGCAACTAATAACAGAACAATAGAAGCAGTGAGCTCGTCAGGCTCAAACAGGGACCGCTAAGTGCTGATAAACACTTGACAGAAGAATAAAGAGTCGGTATTGATGGAAAAGGAGCAGGTTGGACACTGAGCCACAGAATAAACGCCACATCACTGCCGCTGGGGGACCATACAGTACATCAACAGATTCGTTAAAATATCTATTTGTAATCAGAATTCATGCATACATATAATCATATCATTATCATATAATAGTATAACCTTACAAAGATTAGTCTGTATAGTTTCCCATCACATAAACATGTTGCTACATTCCTTTCTCATCAACCATGAAACAAAAACCCACCATGGTGAATCCTGGGCAGCAGCTTCTAAACAAGTTAAAATAACTTAACGAGAATGAAAGCTATATCCTGGAATCATGTTGGCCTCCAGAGTGAGACTGTCTTTGTTAACTGTACCTTGTTGGAGGCCATCTCACTGACGGAGTGTCTTGTTTGCAGCGTCTCCAGCTGGTCCAGACACCAGTCCAGCTCCTCAAGGGTCTCAGTGGCCAGTTTCTGGTAGGCCTCCTCTGCAGGGGCAAGACAGGAGGGCAAGGGGTCAGTAAGGGCCCGCTTCAGAGGGCTAGTGCACGGTCCAGGCCCGGGGTCTCCCACCCCACATACAGCTAAGCTGGGATACCCCGAGAAGACACATGGGTGACTCTTCATACTGGACAGGTGAGCCAGCTGTGCGGGCCTGGTGGGAGTCCTGTACCCTAACCCACAGATGAGACGTCTGTGGGTTAGGTAGTTTGTGGAGAAGCTCACTGACTCCCTTGAAGAAAGGAGAGCAGTCCTACAGTTCAAATCGTGGACACTTCCTCTTAAGGATAAAAAAAAAAAAAAAAGGGTCAGATACAATCCCACAGTTCAGTCAGTCAGTTTCTGGAATCCACATAATAGTTAACAAAAATAAAATAAATCAACGCCCAAGAGTAGAGAAAGAAACACAAGGGAGGATGAGCCATTTCTCAGAGGCTTGTTTAGGATCCCTCCGAAGGCGGCACACACACATCACACTCCGTGATCTATGGGTGTGAGGTCTACGCCATCAATCGTGAGAGAGATGTAATTCCAGTCATGTAGCAGGATAAACAGCAGTCTGCTCAGCAGGCTCATGTCTGCCAATGTGGGGCTTGAGGGAAGACAGGGACGGAGGAAAGAAAAAAATAGAGGATCCAGTGAGAGACTCAGAAAGAGTCGAGATCCATGTCAATACTGTCCAGAGAGGAAAAAAACACTGCACGGTCCTGACATGGTTAACGAAAACAAACACACACACACACACACACCAGACCAAATGCTAACCATAACACATTATGATTTTGTCAGCTTAGTCCCTCTGCCAATGAAAATATCCATCGTATCCGGAAGCAAAGGGAATAATCCGGCTCTGTGTGTGTGTGTGTGAAAGTGTGAGCTGGGTGGTGTTGTCTATAAATTCAGTGTACAGGTGGGGTAAAATGGGGGGGCGGGGGGGGGGGGGCTGCTGTTGCTCCGGCGTCCCTGGTAGCCAAACGTGCCCCTCTCTCCCCGAGCTGTACCCAAAGCCTGAGCGGACCGCACCGTGGATGGGGAAGAAGGGAGAGCGGCAAGACGCGGACCGGAGTACCCGGAGGAGCGGAGCCAGAGCCGGGATCTCCCCGCGCACACGCGTGTGTGTGCGTGCTTGCATATTAATACGCCACAACGCGGACGTAGACGGATAGATGGCGGGCGATAGGGCGAGCGGATGCAGAGCGTCACCGTCACGAGGCCCGACCTTCGCCGCGTGCGTTGTTTTTCCTTTTCATTGGGAGAGGAGGACTTGCCTTTCAAAGGCAGCCTGCGCTAACAGGAGACTGTCACCTTGTCACACACCGACTGCTATTAATGCTCGGACCCAGTCAGGAGAAGCACGGTGGGGTGTGAATGCTGTGTGATCGGGGAGATTAAACACAAGCGGGATTAAAAACGGGAAGGGCCACGTTTAATCACTTCAGTGTGAAGCCTGAATATTTCCAAAGAGCACACGCTCGCAAATCTTTTCTTTTCAACGCGCGACTATTCAGTGAATAAGCACGAGCTCCGACCATCTCGACACCTCTTTTGTCACCTCCTATTCTCTAAAATACCCCCCCTCTCCAGCTTCATTGTCTTTGATAAATCTCTCCCTCCCTCCTTCCATCCGTCCCCTTCCTCTCCCACTCTCCTCGTTTCCTCCGCTGATCTCTGAACATCCTCCCCCCCCTCCACCCCCTCTCCTTTTTGTCTCCCTCTTCTTTCTCTCTCTCGGTCAGACTCTCTCTCTCTCTCTCTGTGTCTGTATCCCTCCCTGGTGGGGTGTCGGTGGCTGGGGGTGCTACCCCTTCTGACAGCGACTGCACTGACGTCAATGACATTCTTCTCGTGCTTAGTGCGACATCAGACACCGGCGCTCAGAGAGGCCACTCTGCTGCACAGACGCAGGGCTGCAGGCAAACCGCGTACCGGAGCCGCTCGGCAGCGAAGTCGGACCGCGGGAGGGGGGAGGAAGGGGGAGGAGTGGGGAG